CACGATGCTTAACGACAAAAGTGGTTTATGATGATGATGTTAATGACAATAGACTCTGCAGCCATATGTACAAGAAATTCAAGATTGTTGACTCGGAACTCTTCTCAAGCAGACGGCACCACAGAAGACTGAACATGTACTACAGACATGCTCTCTACATGCAGTATAGAGATCTCAGGTTTGGCTGGTTGGCATTCCAATGGAAACCAAACTGTATGGAACATGAGAAGACAGGCGTTGCACCACAGACTTCATAGAAGCCTGGTGACTTCTCATCTGGAAACCATTGACAGGAAAATTTAAAGAAAAGAAGAAGGTTTTTCTTAGTATTCATATTACCAGATGCCAGCATTTTGTTTTTTGATCTTGATTCACTCAAAACTTAATCCCCGTGTAGGTTCCAGGGCTCCACTTTTAGGAAAATTGTTCATTGTTCATTTAGAGATCATCTTCCTCGCACATCAGACATGACCATAAGTGCTCCCATCTTTTCCTGACAATGTCTCCAAGTGTTTTTAGGTTAACAACTCCCATTCGGTTGAAGTAATGATGGGTGGCTTTTAAGAATAAATAATAGGCAACCCCTCCTTAACAAGCATATCATAAAAGGTGACCAATTTAAGACTTGCTGAAATCAGATGTCTTGGCCTGAAAGGGCAACAGATATTACAGCCTATTTGTAAATCACACCACAATGAGCCTACCGCTCTTTTAAAGGCGAATGAAGAAGAATAACACTGAAATTTTAGTTCTCTTCCAAAGCTCCTCATTGAACAATTAGATCACCAAAATTGGAAAACTCATGCGACAGGTGCTGACAGAACATAAACAAACATGTTTTATGCAAGCTTGAACTGACAGATCACTGAAGTGCTAGTACTAAAACATTTAGTTTACACATAATAGAAAATGAAGAAATATACTCTGCAAAAAATACACTCTGCAACAAATCTGTCAACTCAAGTGTTAATTGAAAAAAGATAAGAAGCTTTGAGCAAAGTGATCACAAAAAGCTGGTTACAAAGTGGCACACACATGCACACCAACTAGAAAAAAAAAATTCTACTCAGGTTTTGTTAAAACAATAGTTTATTTACTTTGATGTACATATTTGTTATTATTTGATGTTTCATTTGTCAAAATATATTACACAAAGGACTTACACATACTATCATTTACTATATTTAGCACATTCTTCTTCTTCTTTTATCCCCCTGTTGGATTGTTAGCCTTCTTGCAGCTCACCTTATATTTTGTATCTCCAATGCTCTTCTTCATGTGATTCAAGTCTCCCTCTATCTCTTTTGCCAGGTGGATTCCAGTGCAAGTTTATTATAATTATAATATTATCAGTTTCTCAATATAAGACCCTATCCAATGCCAGCATCTACTCCTCACCTCTTGATTCATTGGGAGCTGTTTAATGTTTCCCTAAACTCTAACTGGTGATTTTGTCATATAATTTAATTCCTTATTTTCTGCTCAGGGACCAGTTAATTATTGTTTTTAATGTTTTGGTAGATGTCTATGCTATTTTCCATGTTTCTGATCCATACAGTATTAATGATTTATTTATCACACTATTTCACTCTAACAGTAATGGAATTACATCTTCACTGTGTCAGTGTCATTGTAAATTTATTTGTTCAGGCTGATACAAATTGTTTTCGAAATGACCTTCCATTATAAATCTAGCTTTACAACTGCCTATTAACTTATTTTTGGCAAACTTATATAACAGATTCCTGTTACCTTTAACATTCTTAACAGCATTTTCAAAACTTGTAACCAGTGTACAGTTTATTTTACTATGAAACAAACAAAAGATTGAATGTGAGATTAATGTTCCTACTGTCTCTATTACTGCAAACTTAAGCCAAAGTGTTACTGAGTATTGTGCCTGTGAATATCCTTCGAAATAATTCACTATTATAAGTAAAACAAGAACATCAGAAAAATTTAAAAAAAAACAAAAAAAGCTTTATATCACTTTGCTCAAATGGTTTATGGTTCTTAACAGTATTCAAATTTAAGTTATTTAATCATAAATAAAATTACTACTTTTGGAAAGGTTAAGAGATGCTGTTGATAAATAGCTAAGGAATGAATAGATAGCACACTGCGCATAATAACTATGAAAAAGTCTTTGACAGTTTTGATAGGAAAATTCTATTGAAACGGATGAGGAACTTTAAGATCCCACACAAAAATAATTAATTCAGCAAAAGCAACATATACGAACATGAAATGTTGAATTCTTCATGAGGAAAAACTAACAGATACATATTAAATAAGAACATGTGTGTGATAGTCATGTTTTTGTCAAATCTCCTATTTTTACTGTCTATAGATTGGATTATAAAGACAGCAACTGCTAACACCAGGAATGGAATTCAGTGGACCCCTACAAAATTGCTTGATAACCTGGACTTTGCTGATGATATTTCTCTTCTATCCCACTCACAGAATCAGATTCAAGATAAATTAAATATACTTGATGCCAGATCACAGCAGCTAGGTCTAAAAATCCATGAGGAAAAGACAAAGATAATGAGAATAAATCAGGTCAACAGCAATCTAATTTATCTTAATAATATCCATCCCACTCTAGGATGTGGAGCCTTACACATATTTAGACAGTAATGGAGACAATGATGGGGAAGTGATAAAGATATTAAAATATTAATATAAATAGAAAGAGGAGTTTTCATGCTATGAAATTTGCAAAAGTCAGAGAAAGTTAACAGAAATAAACTTGATTTTTTTTTTAATTCTGATGTCAAATCAGTACTTTTGTATAGATCAGAAACATAGGGAACAACTAAAACAATTAATTACTAATTCATTACAGACATTCATTAGCTGGTGCCTGCTCAGAAAAGAGGGATTTAAATCAAAGATAGGGAGGGCATGGAGTGAGCTGCATGCAATAGCAAAGGATAGAACAACTTGGTATGAGTTCGTTGAGGGCCTATGCTCCATTGGGGATAAAGTGCAGAGGAAGAAAAAGAAGAAATTATTACTTTGAAAGGGCTTTCATCTGCACACTTTTTTTTTTAACCTAGAACACAATATCTTCAAGAATAGAATATATCTGCTAGAATATTTAATCTGAAAAATTGCACAGGGCAAACCATTAACATAAAATATTTATATGGTTACTTGAAAATACTTTTATATAAGAAACATACACACGATATAAATGCTGTATACAAGACAACCACATATATAGTTGCCACATTCTATTTACAGTCAAGAACTGTATACCAGTTTGACAAAGGCAGCATAGTATTAATAATTTAACTAGGATAAGATAGGTAAAGGGCCCTTTTACACAGTTTGAGGCATTTTCGATATATGATGCTGGCGCCATATTTATACAGACCTCCCGTGTGGGCCCAATTTTTTGGTGGTGGTGGTGGAGGGGGGGGGGGGGGGGGGAGAATAGACTAGCCGCCCTTTTAACAAGCAAATCATAAACGACTAACAATTCAGAGTTCATCTGCCTGAGAGAAAAGGAACCTACAGTTTACTTACAAATAAGACAAAAATCAATGTGGATCAAGTTCTGGAACAAGACTGAAGTCTTGAAGGGGATGAACAACCACAACTGTGTGCAGTTTACAGCCAGTGAGCACGAAGAAGAAGAAGAAGCAGAAGAAGAAGAAGTAGAAGAAGAAGAAGATGATGAAGAAAGAGGAGGGGGAGGAAAAGGAGAAGAAGAAGAAGATGAAGAAGAAGAAACATCAGAAAAAGGTCGTCATTACGTTACGACTACATTATGGAAAGAAAAATACTGAAATATGTTATGACAGTTGTAAAGATTTATGGATGGACAGATAGACAACAATAGAAGATTCATGAAAGCCTTTTGTCATAGTCTGGAAAAGTGTCATCTCACAAGCTGGTACATGCTTTGGGAGATCATCTTTGTTCCCGACAATAAGGCCCTTGAACCCCCGCAATGCTTCTAGTAAGTTGTCTTTGTGTATTAGCCTCTTATTGACAGATTTAAGTTACTCATTCTGGTGGTTCAAAGAAAGCATTCTTATGTTTCTGAATTAACATATTTATGTATTTAAGAAACATAAAATCTATTCCAAATCGACACGCTCCATGACAAAATTATGGAACATGCATTATTTTATAAACAATTACAATTTCAGATTTCACCCATTGAAAATCCATCAAAAATTCAGCAAAGAATCAATTTCTGGAAAAAAGATTTAAAAACCTTTTGGTTAAAGAAGTATTGTCTGAAAATAATTTGGGACGGGAACGGGGTGGTCTGCGTGTTATATTACTGTTAAGATCATTTGTTTCTGTTTCTGTACGTGCTGTGTTCAAGAAAAACTCATCCTCAAATGCTGCTGGTTTTTGTATGTTTCTATTATAAATACTGTCCTGATTTGAATCATTGTTAATTAGATTTAGTTCACTGTTATAGCCGCCACCCAGCGACTCCTGTTTTCTTTGGTAATACCTATCAAATTGTTCTAACTCCTCCCTTCCAATATTTGCTTGTGACAAGCGGCTATAATTACTTCTTAAATCTCTCTCCACCCTGTTCAGTCTCTGAGATGTTAGGTGGTTTCGAAAGTACGGAGTTTCCTTTCTGTCTATTTCATGCCCTACTTTGGGTAAAGAGGGTTGTTTAGATTTCAGTGGGATTACATCTTGAGTTATCTGAGGCAATAAAGTAGACAAGAGGACATCACTCCGGGGCTTTTCATCTATCGGCATTGATGGTTGTGTCAAAAGAAACCTGTTGGCTCCATAATCGTACCCAAATTTGTTCTGAACATCACTATCGATCTTTTCTTTAAAGGGATCAATTCTGGTGATCCACTGCTCTCGCATAAATGATCTATCTGTTGTTTTTGACCTTTTCTTCTCACTGATTAAACTTGCATTGACATCCATTGGTTCAACATGGTTTATAGTCTTGGCTCTTTCCTTTGGGACAGAATGATAAAGGATAGCCCTTGCCCCAGTCATACCTTCTCTATCATCTTTCCTCCGATGCTTGGCTTGCAGGTTCTGTTCCTGCAACAGCAAAAGTTGTCGCTGCAGTCGCTCATTTTCTAGCTCCAAGGTCAATAAAGAGTGGTGATTTACGTTCTGCTTATCTGAAAAATACAAAGGGCAGTATATTTTACTTTTTATAAAACTTCCTGGTGTCACATTTAGGCTTGGCATTGCTTAGAGCTAAAGGCAAGAGGGGCTTTCATAGCACTAGGGAATTTGTGGAGGTCAAAAGAAATTAAAAGAAATACTAAACTAAAAATTTTCAATTCTAATGTCAAATCAGTACTATTGTATGGGGCGGAAACATGGAGAACAACGAAGGCAATTACTAATAAATTACAGACATTCATTAACTGGTGCCTGCGCAGAATAGAGGGAATAAAATGGTATGATAGAATACTAATGTAGAACTTTGGGAGAGAACTAAACAGGCTCCAGTGGATCAGGAGATGAGGAAAAGACGCTGGCGTTGGATAGGGCACACACTGAGAAAACATGAGAACAGCATAACTAGAATGTCTTTGCATTGGAACCCACAGGGGCATAGGAATAAAGGAAGGCCAAAAAACACATGGAGAAGAGAGCTGGAAAATGAGGTTAGAAAGATTGGGAGGACATGGGGAGAGCTCCATGTAATGGCGAAGGATAGAACGACTTGGCGTGAGTTGGTTGAGGGCCTATGCTCCATTGGGAGATAGAAAGGCAGAAGAAGAAGAAGAATTGCTTAGAGCTAATGGTCTGTGAAATTATTCTATTTCCCACTCTACTCATTCTGTATTTGATTTCCTAATGGAAATCAGCCAGCTCATGCCCACCCCTTTGAAGAAGATCAAGAAATATAAGTGAAAGTAAAGGACCCTTTTCCACACCTTTTAGGCATATAGGACATATAGGGCTAGACCTATATTTTATGACCAATTGGCACTAGATGGGTGATGTGGTCAGCATCATGCCGGCTGCCTTTACTTCCCAGGATTGCACCTGATACCCACTCAAGGCTGGGTCGACCTGGTAGCCAAGGTCACTTTTTAAAAAGATTCCAGCTCTGCTAGGGAATGAACCTTACCATCCGCAGAGATCAAGAAGTAGAACCTTATATCTCCTTTAACACCCGAAGCGGTAAAAGAGGAACTAGTTTTCCATATAGTGGTCAATTTATTTTCAACCCTAATAAGTTGCCTTTTATAACATGCACGGTAAGTTATTATTCATTTTGCCCACCTCTGTGCTACCAGGGTCAAACATGGATACTTACAATAACTGATGAGCGCAAAATCATAATACAAATGAAATATTTTAGTAAAGCTGACAGAGTAACAAAGAAAGATACAATTTATGAAGAAATCAGAAGAGGACTAGGACTGCAACTAGTCATACAGTTCATTAAAGAGCAAGAGATAAGATGGTGTGGCCATCTGACAAGAATGCCCTGGTACAAACTGCCAAAAAAAGATATGCTGAAAAATATAAGGAATACATAGTGCGGGATGGGCATGTAAAATATGGAATGATGGCACCATGAACAGCATCAAAGAGATGAAGTTCAGTTTATGCAATGCATTAACAAGAACACACACAAGATCCTTAAATCTCCCCCAAACACCTCCATGAAGTAAACAGAGCAGGAGAAGAAGAAAGAGAAGATGGCAGAGTACAATGTTACTATTCTTTGCTGCTCTTATCGGTCAGGGTAAAATACGGGCACATTTTCTCTTAATTGGTGTTAATTATTTGAACGGTTCCAATTTTTCTTCATCAAGCATTTTCTTTAATATGTTATGTTATTTTGAAACTCTTGGCTATGCTTTTGTTTCTTTAATATCCATTTGTCACAAATGAGGATACATCAGATAACTTTCACACAAACCTATCTTCACATAACATAAATAAAATGCTCTTCATAAATCTGGACAGTTGAGTTTAGAATTGACATCACAGCACTTGGGGCATTCCCATATGTGCACTGTCCCCATCCTCAGCAGCCAGCGCAAAGTTCCAATACTCTGGGCATCATTCTCTCCAGCCCATAATAATCTAGTTGCTCTTCTGACTTCGTTACTTGTTCCAAAAGGGCTCTGACCACATCTGCCTAGTCATGCATCAATTCACCACCCAGCAATGCAGATCCAGCCAGTCTGTCTGCTTGTTCATTCTCCACCATGCCGGCATAACTTGGAGAAAGTATGCTCACTACCGTGACCTAGCAAGTGAAGTTTGCCACTCATAAATCTGGACAGAATTAGGGAAAAGGAAAACTAGCGTATGCTTATTCCCATCTGTGATTAATGAGGATGACTGAGTTGACTTCCACACAAACCTTTTGACATGAAAAAATAAAAAACAGGCTTGCCCATTTTCAGAAACCTGAAAAGAACAGGAGAAAAGGCAAATGGATTTCATGGGACAACATAGCTATATTATGTCCACTGGAAAGATTGTTTTTGTTTTTTAACTTTCTCTATCAATGGGAGTGCACTTTTCCTGTGACCTTCACACACAGATTTCTACATGAAAAAAATAACCCCCAAAAATGCTAATTTTAACAAATCTTTACAGAATATAGGAAAGGAAAACTAAATGTATCTTTACAAAGAATTGACTGAAATAACCTTTCTGTTTTGGAGGTGGTCTGTTACGTAGAGAGTCATCTATTGCTTGAGCTTCTGCTTGCATCTGAGCCAGCTGCTGAAGAATGTCTGGATCATTGCCTCCATTTTGTAGGTAAGCTTGTCTTACTGCAATGATTTCTGCCACAAGAGAGTTCCCATAATAGATAGGGTAGATGTACTGCTGCTTTTTTGTCTCTGTCACCGGAATATGACTGTTGAAGATGAGACAGCAAAAATCATGAGAGTCAAACATGGCAGAAAGACACATTAAGCAATCTTCTTCTTCAGAGTTTCATAGTCAGGTCTTGGTCAGATATGACTGAGCTACCGTATAACAGTAGCCGGTACCACCTGTCTTCTGTTATGCCAAATGTTGGGCGGCGTATACTAACCCAACATCCCATATTGTGCCAACGGCTTCGGGCGGAGGAGCGCATTGGGGAGGATACTAGCCTTATCCTAGGAAGAGGAAATGCAACCAGAGTTTTCAGACAAAGCAATTGCATAAGAAATGCCTTCTTAAAAAACACGCATGCATACTGATCTCTTGACAAGATTAACAATTACATAAATTACAATGAATTATAGCACTACAAAGCAGTCAGATGACTTAATAAAACTCTATATGAGCACAAAAACACTTTGTAATATTATTTGTGTATGTGTGTTTGTGCGCGCACTAACGTGAATGTGGATGGGTGTCTGTATGTGGGTGTGTGTGCATGAGAACATGTGCGTAACAATTAACTCTTCCAATTACATGGAACTCACCATCCATTCACTGGATACTTCTAATTTACAAATTAGAAAAAGCCACTCGCAAAGAAAAGCAAGAGAGTGTTGAGAGAGGCATGGTAAACTGCTGAAAGTACAATTGCCTAGTGAAACTACAAACAGCCAACAGAAGCTGGAGTTGGTTTGCAAATATCCTGTTAAGGATATGCCTTGAGTGCTGAGGTCCTGGGTCAGTAGTGAGATCGGACGCCTGTGTGTATTTTTGTGCACCTAACAATCCCTTAGCAATTGGAAATCGAAAAGAGTAGCTTAACAGCTCTGCCCAGGCAACATTTTAAGTTGAAAATCTACCCAAAGTATTTTCAGGATCCTCACCGGTGCTAAAGAGTTTGTGCGCTGAGCTGAGATTCTTCAGATTCAGGCTTGAGTTAGAAGTAGAATGGAGCGCTTAGGTTTTTGTGTATGTTGGTTAAGGGAATAACCCTCCCACACTGAACTATAAGCCCCCTCACACCTGTTGGATGCCGTAATATACGACTGAACGAGGTTTATGAGTTTCCCTAATGCTGCCTTCTCATCTGAATAACATCTGTTTGTGTCACTGTGTGTTTATCTTTCTGAATGCAATCCATGAAAAGCAATTGTTTGTTTTTTTTCTTTTAAAGTTAAGGTCATATATTTTTATTTTGTTTTCCACAAATTCTACACATTCATTGATGAGTGCAGAAAAAAATGTGCCTGTACTTACATATTCTGAGCTGCTAAGATTCGTCGCAATTCTTCCAGCATTCTCTGATTTCGAGCCTCCTGTTCTTTCAATTCTTGCAGTAATGCATTCATTGAATCATCATCTTTGACTGGTCTGCGGCCTAAACCTTCTAACCTTCGTCTAATTTCTGTGAAAGAAAGTTGTTAAAATTATATCTGCACCTCATGGCCCAGCACATTCAATGTAAGTAAATCCTTAATTATTTTAAACAGGACAACTGGGGACTCGTCCGGGATTTTACCAGAGACTATTTCCTAGTAGTCTATAGCTTTATAGGTACTGCACAACTGTTTAATAAGACTGAGCTAAAAATTGATGGTTTAAAATGTTTGTGTAAAATGATTCAAAATTTTAAGTAGTTCAGTTCCAGATCTGGTGTTTTGTTACATACTGTTGTTGTTACGTTACGTATCTATTGTGACGTGTATTATACATACAGTACTAATTGGTGTTCTACTATAACTGCCAATCATAACTGCTAAGTGATTCTGTTGCGTTGATCTGGTTTTTCTGTCTACTCTGCCTACTAAACAACTTACCCCTCAGGTTATTGATAGAAGCCACTACCTATAGCCATGCCTTTCAAAAGACCAACTATGGCTGAGATAAGGGAAATAGGAATAGAGCTGGGGCACGAGGGTGAAGAGTTAAAAAGGTACATGCAAGATATAGATAGAGAATACCGGGTGGATGAAAGAGAGTATGGTAAGGCTGAAGCAGAGGCTAAGGAAAGAGCCTTAATTCGAGAAGAAGAAAAGGCAGAGAAAGAAAGGGAAAGGGTAGAGAGAGATAAAGAAAGGCAACATGAAATTAGACTTCGTGAACAGGCCTCAATACCCTCCTCACCGATTCCCAACTATTCTTTACCTAGCCCTGAGGGTTCATCTCAGAATAATCTTGTGGGGGCCCTGAACTTCCCCTTGATGCACTTCGATGAAAGAGCAGATAAAATAGACACCTACTTAGAGAAATTCCAAAAGATGGCTGAGAACTACGGGCTGGAAAAAGAGAAATGGAACTTTAAGGTTTCTCAGGGGCTTCGAGGATTTGCTTATGATGTTTACAACCAGCTACCTCGGGGTCAGGAAAATGATTTTGAGGCCTTAAAGCAGGCACTTCTCAAAAGATATGAGCTTACCTCCGGAGCATATAGGCATAAGTTTCGAACAGCCCAACGGCAAGCGGGTGAATCGTTTAGCCAACTGCTGAGTAGACTCCAAAGCTATCTTTCAAAATGGATGACTTTAGGGGGTCATGATCACTCATACGATGGGTTGGAAGAAATGGTGCTGGCTGAGCAACTGAGGGAGTGTATGTCGAAACCTATGCAGACTTTCTTAACAGAGAATGGGGCTGAACGCTTAGACGACATGATTACTCTTGCAGAACGCTATCATGCAGCCCATGGGGAAGTATCTTTTAAGCCCAAACCCCAACCCACCTTTGAAAAACCTCCGGTGAAAACACCCGTACAACCTTATAAAAATGCCGCAAAGGGGCCTAAACCCCAACATAATCAAAATCAAAACCCCCAGCCGCAACTAGCGTCGGGGTGGAGAAATCCATACTGCAAATATTGCAAGGTTAATACCCACTACACGGCCGAATGCCGGAAAAAACCTGCCCCTCAGTACGCGGCATGTGTGTCAGCTGAAAAGCCTCCTAGTGTACTCTTCCCTAATACGAGGAGACCACCCGTGGTGGAAGTGATCTCAGTCAACCGACAGAGAGTCGATTGTCTCTATGATACCGGCCTCCAGTATGACAGTTTAATTGCATCATATCTGGTAGAACCTGGCCAGCTAACTGGAGACACTATTAAAGTCCGCGGGGCTACCAAGAGTTCCCCCACTATGACTTTGCCTATAGCTTTAGTTGAAGTGGAGTCCAAGTATGTTACTGGGACTGTATCCGCTGCTGTGGTAGATGATCCGATTTATCCTTTTATCCTAGGGTGTCGGTATGTTTATTTAAGTGAACCATCTACTTCCATAGCTCTAGCGGCTGTACAGACCAGGTCTCAGGCTAAAGATAGCCTAGAGCCTGTTCAGCCTTTAAACCCCCTTCCGGGTGAAATTAGGGCTGCCCAAAAACAGGACCATACCCTTCAACCATGCTACGGAAAGTTGCCCAAAGCCCAAAACCCCCCTAGTGAGGGAAACTTTTATGTCAAAGGTAATTTGCTGTACCGGAGGGCAGGAAAAGATGGAGATGAGTTTGGTCAACTTGTTGTACCTTCCCCCTACCAGACGCAAATATTGCACATGGGACATACTATCCCATTCTCTGGACATATGGGGATTGGGGCTACACAGCAACGTATCGCCTGCCATTATTACTGGCCGGGGATGAATGGGGACATTAAGCGGTATGTAAAGTCATGTCCAGAATGCCAAAGGGTAGCTCCCAAGCATTGGACAGTTCCAGTAACTTTAGGTGACATGCCGTTGATGAACACTCCATTTGAGAGAGTGGCAGTCGACATAGTCGGTCCACTCCCTCGCACCAAGAAAAAAAATTCCTTTATTTTAACTTTGGTGGATACCTGTTCTATGTGGGGGGAGGCGATTGCCCTACCTGCTATCAATTCAAAGCGAGTAGCGGAAGCACTAGTGACCATTTTCACAAGATTGGGATTTCCCAATCAAATTTTGACAGACAACGGCTCACAGTTCCGAGGGAAACTGATGGGAGAAGTCTTCCAGATTCTACAAACCCGGCATATCCACACTAGTCCATATCACCCACAGTCAAACGGCCAGGTGGAAAGATTTAACGGAACCTTAATGACGATCCTGAGGAAGTTAGCTCAAGAAAAACCAGAGGTTTGGGATGAGTATCTACCAGCGGCTTTATTTGCCTACAGAGAGGTACCCCATGGATCTACGGGAATCCCACCTGCTACTCTTCTATATGGACGACCGATTAAGGGGCCCTTGGAAGCCCTAATGAGGACGTGGACTGAAGAGAAGGCGGAAGAGACTGTAGTGACAGCCTCCAAGTATGTGGAGGAACTGAAAGGAAAGTTGGAAATGGGTTGGAAACTGGCAACATCAAATGTGAAAGCCGCCCGCAAGAAACATGCTGCCCTTTATAATAGGAAAGCCAAGGACCCTTCCCTAGAACCAGGAGACAAGGTCATGTTACTTTTGCCAAGTGGCAGCAATAAACTGGAGATTGGTTGGCAGGGGCCTTACATGGTTGTGGAGAAGGTGTCCCGCACCAATTATAAGATCTCCAAAAGAGGAAAACTGAAAGTCTTGACCGATTTCCCCTATTACTTTCCGCTAGAAACCAGATAGGACTAGTTACATTCAAATTATGGAATAATAGTTCTGCAACCAATCACAGTGCTCTGTCCGACCAATCAAATAGAACGTACCAGATGGCGCTTCATCTTTTTGGCGCATGCGCATGACTGGCGTCACGTGGGTCGTCCATTTTGAGCGGAAGTCGCCATGTTTCGGGCATTCCAATTCCAAACGTGGTCGAGTGAAGATCGTTAGTTTTTCAAGTGCAGTATCCAGATTAGCGAGTGTAGTTCTATATTAATTCGTTCTGGATTACTGTAGTGATTTCTGACCGATCTGAGGGCCCTGCGGCATTTTTCATAACACCAACGACTCAACGATTAGTACACAATTGTACCCATTGTCATGTCGCCATAGAATCGGCACAGACAAAGAGACAGTTTAAGGGATTTAATCCCAGTATTCATAACCGACTACTAGTCGTATTTTTAACCGACCACGTGTCGTACTTTCTAAACGACCACGTGTCGTATCTGAACTTTAAGAACATCAGCGGTGGATTATCTACAAGAGGATATCACAAGAAATAAGATCTACAAGAAGCCAAGTGTTCCGGTTTCCCCATCAAGTCCAACCTTTAGGAGTATCCACAGGTGAGCTGTACTCGTGCGGGGAAGGAACTGGACCCAGTAGACATTTCTCTTACCTGATGATGAGAACCATTTGGTTTAAAAACAAACACCAAACCACTGTCAATTTTTAGCCAGTCAGCTGTCAGTAAAATTAAAGCGACATCATTCTTCATTCACTACTATTTTCGTCTGTCTTTGTTGCTGTGCGTGAGTAATAGTTGAGTGAGCGAGAAGGGGGCATTCTTCGCTTTCTTTCTCTGGGGGCTCTTTCTTTAAAAGTGGCAGAGGAGTTGCCACCAGGATAACTAGTCTGCCTAGCACCACCCATCGGAGCGGGGTAGCCTTATCTTCCTGTCCTCTGTCCCAGGAGCAATATCTCGGTCTCTCTACCCTAGTAGACAATGAAGTACCATACTTCTAGTGAGCCACACTTATAGACTGAAGATACCTCCTGCATAGAAACCCTACCCTTCCTAGGGCCCTCCTATAGTTGTGACAATATTTTAAAAAATCTATAGTCACATGTGTAACACCCCCGTGTGGGTTCTGGGGGCCCTATTGTGGGGAAAACAAGAATAGACCCACTGCCTCCCCAAAAGCATGTCGTAAGAGTTGACTAACTGGGGAGCTTCCTTTGAAGTCGGAGTGCATCTGCCTGAGAGGCAAGGAACCAGCAGTCTGCATTCAATTGAATCAGATCTGTAAAACTGATGCACACGCAACACTCAGGTTCTGGAGCAGGACTGCAGTCCAGAAGTGGACGAACAACCAGAACTTTACGCCAGAGTGTACAGCTGGTGAACGCGAAGAAGAAAAAGAAGACATGTGTAACATGGTTGTTTGTTTAAAAAAATTTTTTTGCTGGAAATTGCCAAGGGAAAATGACAAACTGTTTTTAGCATTCAGGGGGCAAAAGGGGGCAAAAGGGGCCAAAAGGGCCAAAACAGATGGCATTTATGCTGTGTTTGTTTGAGGGGCAATGAGTCTGTTCTTTAGTTTTTCAAAGTGGGGCACTAGCAGTTTAAAAAGTTTTAGTTCCTAAAACATGCTTATTGGATATAAATCAGTAGCAATATAATCATTACTGAGAGCTGTGGGCTGCTTGTATTTTAGTCATCTGTTATTTTTTCCCATAATACTCTTCTCTCTCTCTATCTTTCCAGTTCTCTTTTTTCTTTGTTTTTAGGTCAAAGCAAGTAGGAATAATTTGAAGTTCATTAATCTGGATGAGTTATTATTATTAAAGTCAAAAAGCAAATTACCAGAAGTGACTTCTAGAAATTCTGAAATAAATTTTACCTAACAAAGATTTGGATAGATTTTCAAAGATACGGTGACCAAAAACCATGAAATGCAAATCATGAAAACAATCACCTGCAACAGTCACCTGCAAATGGGTAAATATGCCTACTGAATATCTGTTCCACATGAGGAATCTATTCCAATGTTCACTAAACACATTCCCTACTAAATGACAAAAATGTTTCTTCTTCTCTCCATCTATCCTTAAAAGATGGCTGCCATATTATACTGTCTGTAGTTTACAGCTAGGCTGCAATGTTTACACCTTTCAGCTCCCCATGTCTGAGTTCAGGAAATCCCTATTTAGTCTCCTTTTAAAACATGACAGGTCCCAGGGTAGTTGGTGTCCTTTGGATATATTCTCCAGGTTCATGCTGGTGTGTTGGGAAGTGAGCAGGCAGATAGAGTGGGCGGTTCTGTACCACTCGTTTAACAGGCTAGATGTTGTGAGGGCCCAGTGGAAGGGAGTGAACAGTGTGGAGGTACAAACAGATCATTATTGTCTGAGGAGAATGGCGCTGCGAGGAGTTACCAGGGGATCTGGCCGACGCTGAACACTTATGGGAAAGATGAGGCGGATGTACAATTGGACAGTTACTGGTACCATCGGAAGTAGAAGTCTTCGGTTACTGCTAAAGAGGTGATGGTGCGCTTTTTGGAGTGTCCCGAGTGCTATGATGTCGATTCTTAATTCAACATTCTTTTAACATTACAACATGCTTGTTGAGGAAAAATGAGTCTATTAATTTTTTTCTCCCCGTAAACAACATGGGAACAACTTTACTCAAATATTAGATATGAATTTCTCACTAAATGGCAAACTTATGACCTGAAAGAAAATGTTGCTACACACTGGAGCAAGTGTAACTGGATTTTTTGCAAACTTTCGGGCGTTTTCTTTCCCCACATCAAGTAGTATATGCCTTACTATAGATTACAGTCTCATCACTATTTTCCTTATCTGGGTTTTGATGCTCCATTATGGGGGGTAAAAGAAGAACAGATCCACTGTTTCCTAACAAGCATGTTGATTAATTAGGGGTGTTTTCTTCAAAGTCGGGGTGCATCTGCCTGAGAGGAGAGGAACCAACAGTATGCATGCAAATAAGCCAGATCTGTTAACAGATCTGCACTCAAAACTCCAGTTGTGGAACAAGACTAAAGTCCAGAGATATACGAACAAACAGAATATTCTGCCAGAGTTTAAAGCCTAGTGAACGTAAAGAAGAAGAAGACATTATTTTATGGAAAATAATGTTTTAACAACCTAAAATAATACAGTCTAAAAACGTGAAAAAAAAAACAACAGACCTTCTCTCTGTCGCTCCAAATCTCTGTTTCTGCTCTGCAAATGTTCCATCTGACGGCCATGATTCTCTGCCAGTTGCCTGACTTTGGGATCAGACTGTGGGTTGTATCTAGCTGGGTCAGGCTTTGGGACAACAGGTTAAGAAACTCATTACAAATTACCAGTGGGATATCAGACTTACAAATAATAAATATTTATTTCAACACTGAATGATATCCAAGAGCAGGACGTTTTTCTTGGGGAAAAAGTAACAGTACTCATGACTAAGTGTCTGTGAAAACAAAATGCCAGTACTTACCACAAAATGTATATTACAAATCGTTGAAAAAATGATGCCGAAAACACATGTGCCAGTACTGTGTACCATTGCATACCACTATAAAAAGGCCATGCCCAAGAGTAGTAAAGAAAATATAGGAAGGAGACAGAGAACGTAAAGAGAGAGAATATTAAGTTTTGTTTCATTCTTTGTAAGTACTAGCCTGTGCTTTTTTATTTGTATTAATTGAAGCCATCTTCATTATTACTGTCTTGCTTTTACTAATAATATGAAAACGTGAAGAATATGGCAGCTTTACAAAATTACAAATACAATAAACAAAGAATGTTGCAGCAGAAAAGTTTTTAACCCTCACACACAGGAAACACTAAAACAAATCAGGTCACGACCTCCTTGGAATTCCATAAAAAATCCTTTGACAAACATTTTTTTAAACTCTCCTTCTAACTTCGTCCCCATATTATGGCGGCCAAACAAATACCCAAACAGGGCCTCAGCTGTGGGTAAAATGCGGACTTCCTCCGATGAACACATCGCGACAAAACTAGGATTACTGTCCGTTGACACTTTCAAAAGACGCAACAATACACATGATAATAGTGACATAGCGGGGAGACCACGCGCTTGACACAGGTTAGCGATACTGTTCTTCTGATTAAACTCACCGCCGAACGTATCCCCTGAGCCGCGGATTGGGGGCTAAACTAGATGGCTGGGACTCACGAGCAGCAGCTACCGCATCTCCTGCAACTTCCACCAATTTATTTGCTCGTGCATCCCAGCCATCTAGTTTAGCCATGGAACTTGAATAATCTGGAATTCTGAACAGGTTATGTTCAAATTCTGAGGTACCGCTGTATATAACAATATGTGCAGGGAGTAATTAATAACCATAAATAGAGTTAAAGCATTAAATGAAATACACTCCGCGTGACATGAAAAAAATGATCAGGTCATTCATGCCATGTCCCCCTGACCTCTATCACTGAGGCTTACAGGAAAATCTGATGTTCAAGGCGCCATCTTAATGAGAACTCTGAAGGGTTCACTTGTGCACTGGAATCCACATGCCAGGAGGTGTTCTTTGTGTCCCTCTTCCTCTATGCCCCTCTCCTCCTTTGATATATGCCTTGTATGGCACAGCATCAGAGGTGGGCAAGTGGACAAGCGATCTGATTTGCTGTCTTTGTGTGTATTTTTATTCATTTATACTTCTAGATTTACAGACACAAAAAAGTCAAGGACCCTAATCCATTCAATTAGGCGTATTCGGCACATAATACTACTACTATATTTTATAGATCAACGGGACTCAGTGGGTGTTGCAGTCAAAAGTAACACCAGCCACCTTTACTCCCCATTTTAGGCTAGTTCGACCTTGGAGTCAAGATAATGTTTGAAAAAAGTCTTGTCCATGTGGATTTGAACCTATAACCTTCAGTCCTAGGGCAAGTGTCTAGCCACTACTCCAGGGCAGCTTCCCATATCTTTATATGATTATTCAAATAATATACCAACTCAAGTGCTTTAAGTCAACAGACTAAAGATACACACAAAATGTAAGCACATCGTATAAAACAAATGAATATAAAAGTCCTTTAACAGTGACACTCATCAGTCCAATTCTATTATATATATATATACACATATTTGGTATTCTGCTAAGGTTTAAGAAATCATACGTCATTTCATTCGGTTCAAAGTTTAAAATGCTATAAACATATTTCAAGCAAACCAACAGATAAGCAAATCTGGCACCTGACAGGTGGAGCAAGTAAACTTATGATGCAAACAAATTACTCACCATAAATTTTACAATGTGACAGACTCTTTCAGACAACATTTTTAAATCATATTTCTTCTGCATTCAGGCTATGCTGAGATATTCACTAATGTTTTGATCTAAAGCATTTGATTTTGGCAAACGCTTAAATTATGACCTTTTAGAACATGCTTTCTGAACCCCCCCCCCCCCCCCCCCCTCCCTCCGCTTTTCTTTTGAAAACACACACACTTATACACACGCACACAAATTCACTTCACTCATTCACTCACACACACAAATGTCAACTACAATTAAAATTAAAGCTATATGATATAACCGCAGGTTTATTCCCACACTTGCACTTACAAACCAGTAAGCGGAATCTGAATCCAAATTAACAACCTCAGAGCAACAGGTACATGGTTTAATCACTTCCCCAGAAATGACCTCTCAAAAACATCATTAATCACCATCAATAACAACAGAGTATGTTAAAATCAAAAAGTAAAACAACAGTAAATATGTGGGGACTAGAGCCAAGAACGAGATCAGGTTATTATGTCTTTTTTATTTTGTATACATTAAAAAAAACACAATTTGTTGCATATCCTTTACAAGACGGTTGCAGAGTCGACCAACTCCAGCATTGTTTGGCTGTGTGGTTTTACTAAGTCATTTAACATTCAGTAGTTTGCCATTGCTTTCTGAATTGTCAGTGCTCTATACTATTGTCAAAATCAACACATAGTGGTCTGCTGCCAAATCGCCTGCAGCTGAAGTAGAACTGAGTACCTCAGAAATATGAAGCACATTCGCAACAATTAATGACCCTTAGTGTGTCGTCCAACATGAAAAATCAAATCATCACGTTTAACGCTCTATGATAAAATTATCAAATGCTAACCTAATTAACACTTGTGAGGTAAGATGCCAGAGGAAAGATGCCAGAGGAAAGATGCCAGAGGAAAGATGCCAGAGGAAAGATGCCAGAGGAAAGATGCCAGAGGTAAGATGCCAGAGGAAAGATGCCAGAGGAAAGATGCCAGAGGAAAGATGCCAGAGGAAAGATGCCAGAGGTAAGATGCCAGAGGTAAGATGCCAGAGGAAAGATGCCAGAGGAAAGATGCCAGAGGAAAGATGCCAGAGGAAAGATGCCAGAGGTAAGATGCCAGAGGAAAGATGCCAGAGAAAAGATGTTAACTTAACCATCCAAAACTAAGAAATAATACAATGAAACAGACTGTGGGAACAAAACCATGCACTAAATTCATTGAGAAGCAAAAGATAAAAAAATGATTCGGTCATCTCATTCTTAAGCGGCCATAAATTCAAACATCTAAGGAGATCTGGTGTGAAAGAAAGCAAGAGGGTGCTTAAGCAGAAAATGGACTGATGATATTAAAAACAGTCTACATCCACGCCCCATGCAGAATTACACTAGTGAGTGCTATTCATCCAGCATGGATCGTGAACCTTTCCTCCCCATGACGCTCAACAAGAAAGGGAAATTATGATGATGATGATGACACAATTGGATTTTTTCCCCCTCTCTCTCACCTCTCTCTATCTCTGTCTCACACACATACAACATACACACACATGTGAAGCAGTCAAAATAAAAGCTATATAATATATTAACATCAGGTTTATTTTTATTTGTACACAAATTTCAAATTAAACACAAAATGAAATAACGGAATCAGCTCCATTCACACAAAGGACGAAAAACAAAGTGGTTAGACACTTGCTTGTCAGTTTAAAGGTTGTGGGTTAAAAACTGCTTCAAGTCAGGTTTATAAATAAATGATGGGCTTCCACACAGATCCAGTCTACCAGTCTAAAATGAGTACCAAGAAAATGTTCTAAAAAGTAAAGGCATGATGTTGACTACTTCCCCTATCAATACCACTATCGAAACCAATACAAATCAGTCTGCTGCCAAATGGCCCACAGCTGTGATCAAACCTGGCACCTCAGAATCATGATGCACATTCACAACACCTACGCAACAGTTGCAGAATATAAGAGAATAATAATATTTGAGAAATGTGAAATGGATAGCAGGTACAGCATGAGCTGTCTGTAGGAAAACTGCTCAGTTTTTTTAATGCCATTTATCGGCAGAATGATACTTCTTTTTCTTTGCGTTCAGTTTCGTATGCCCAGATCAGACCATAAGGTGGGTTGCCTCTATAAACTCGCATGTCAGCAGCAGGTCTTTCATGGTTCCCCACAGCTTGCTCTGCCCACTTTGCTCTTATGGCCAGGTGTCTTTTCGCAGTTGTAGGTAGAGTGGGCAGGTCTGCAGAATGTGCTCAGGTGTTTGTGGTCCTGTTTGACAGGCACACTGTGGGGACAGTACAATCTTTATTTTATGCATGTGGTAGTTGAGCCTGCAGTGTCCTGTTCGTAGATGGAAAATTGTTGTATGTTGCTTTCTGCTGAGTCTGCTGATGGGGTCCTGTAGATGTTTACTGTTCGTTCTCTCCCCAATTCCTTGTATTTTTCAGCAGAGTGATACAATTCTTTAGACCCACATAAAAAAAAATTATTTGCATATCCTTTACAGGACATCCATCATAACCAAACACTAGCATTTATTTGCTGTATGTGTTAAACTAGGAATTTTCTATGTTCACTAGTCACTACTTTCTAAACAGCATGGTGGTGATACCATTGCTGAAATTAAAGTAAAGCAGTCTGCTGGTAAACTGCCTTTAGCCAACTCAAACCTATTATGCAAGAATTATGAAACTGCATTCATAACCCATAAGGCACAGATGCCATAGACCTGAACAGTTGGCTGAGTAGTATTTATTTCCCACAATTCTTAATACAGTAGAATTCATTTCATAGTGCAAAAAAAAAAAAAAAAAAAAGCATGAAAGCCCTTAATATGTGCCTAAATATAATTAATTTCTCATATTAGAAATCACAAATAAGCCACAGTTCTACAGTGGTTAGAATGCTTGCCTGCCAAGACACTGGTCCTAGTTCAATCCCCAGCACTGACATAACATTTTCTGACCATCACAGAAAATTAATGAGAGTCAGCAGACTGCAATGGCTGAAGCATGTAGAGAGAATGGCAGACAACAGAGAGACAATATCTGTGCACACAAAAGAGTTCAATGGGAGAAGACCATAAGGAAGACAAAAAAGGTGGAAAGATTATATCAGGCAGATGTGCAAACACTTAGAGTCACCAACTGGAAAGAAAAGACATAGATGAAGGGAGGTTGATGATAACATCAGCAATGAACCTCAAGATCTGGAATGCTGAAGAAAAAGATGAAGATCATAAAAACAATTTCCAAAATTTTCTGAGAATTATCTGGAAAGGAGATGCTAAGCTCTGGAAGAAAGTCCTGGCTGTTCATCAATTCTGACTTTGCACTTTACCAGGGCCTCAGTTTTATGTGTATATCTATTTTACTGGTTTATTTGTGTGCAAGTGGTTGTTCCTTGCCACTCGGGCAGATGCACTCCATTTTTTAAAGAAGCTCCCAATAAGTAGACTCCTACGACATACTTGTTGGGGAGGCAGGGGGTCTATTCTTGATTTCCCCTGACAATAGTGTCCCGGAATCAACATGGAACCAACACTGACTGTTCAAAGATCCTCTTCAATGCACATCGGACATGACTATAAGTGCTCCGATCTCTGAGTGTTTTAGGCTAACAATTCCCATTCTGTTCTGGTTGATGTCATTGGAGAGCTCTTGCACGGTTTTCTTGTCTCACTGCTCCAACTGGTACACCCAGCGTATGCAGTCTATTCAGTGAAGAATCATCTTCCAAGATGTAAAGCCTTACAGCATTTACTATCTCTTAGGGCAATGATGATGTCCTTTCTGTCAAAGATGGCCCCTTCTTGACAGTCGCACTGCCAGCCAGGTCATCTGCTCTCTCATAGCCTTTCACACCAGCACAGCTGGGACAAAAATGAAGGTGATTTTGCGAATTGTTACAAGCTGCATCAGATGGATCCACTGTTTCTATAAATACCCCACTTTGATCTTCTGTAGCATGCTCATTGAGTCGCTGAGCAAACATGCATTGGTGAATTCCTGCATTTTCAGACTTTCTAGAGCCTTTGTCACAGACAGACCTCCACTGTTATGCTGGTGGTAGTAGAAGCAAAGGCTCCACTGTCCGCTTTGATGACTTTTCTTCTAGTTTTTGCTGTGAAAGCCCATGCACTTCGCTTCTGACAAATCCCAGAACTATCTGCATATAAAACAGCATCTTCCGATGATGTGTGTTGCTCCACCAATGCTTTCACTTCTCATCAACTACTTGAGGCACCAAATCAGGGCACCGTCTTGTCAGGATGATAACTATCACAAAGTGCTGCTTGAATTCATCTGTTATAACAACTGGTCATCCCTCCTCAAATGTCCTGGAACAGACTGCGTGCAGGCTGTATACTCCTCACACCAGAGGCAGTATCTACTTCTTCTTCTAGTCCATACTATGTAGTCATTTCTGAATTAATGCTGATAGAAGACAAGAGGCTAGATGAAATAACATGTGTAACAATGTGTTAACACAGAACTGGGTGTGGATCAAGCAAGGAAAGAGGTATGAGAGGAATGAAATAATGAGTTTATAATCAGTGAGCTATGGGACCAGTTAGTTTCAACACCTTAGGACATTTGCTGCTGGAGACGGAACACCTATGGGTATGCCTGGTGTGCTATGATGTTGATTCTTAAATTATTAAATCTTTCAATCAATTTTGACACTGATGGTCTTCTGTGCCGTGGTGTCAAACTGTCCAGCATATTCCCTCTTGATATGCCTCTTTTCCTCTCCAATCTTCCCACTGTCACAATGTACTTCAGTTTTCTCCTTTTGATTACAGGAACAAAGAATATAGATTGTTTCCTTCTGGTGTTGCCAATCAGTTATCTTTGTGAGTCAGTTTATTTCTAGATCTCTTCAATACTCTAGTTTATCTGTCCAGGGTATTATCACCATTAGTCTATAAAACCACATCCTCCGCTTCCAAATATTTCTTTCAATAATCATCCAACTGTCCATGATTCATTTCTGTATATCAGTATAATATTTTTTAAACTCTTGATAATAATTTTCTCATCTCAATTGACAAAGGAAGATTTCATAGAGTATTCTTCACACTGTAAAATGCTGCCTTTGCCTGAGCTATTCTACATTAAACTTCTTTAATACATCTCCCATCTGTTATCAGAATGACATTCTACTCTCATCTCTAACCAACGATAGAGGCACAGGACTTTTATTCTTCTTATTTTGCCTCTTTGAGATAAGACAAATAGAAATCTGGCATTCATATAAGCATGAAGTAGCCAGCAGCCCAACTAACCTCCTTTCTGTAGCTTCTTCTTGGCTCACCATAAAACTTTCTCTCTCGAGCTCTTTCATACTGAAAACAGAAAAAAAGAAAACATTGTATTGTACAGTTTTTAACTTAGAAAACAAATTCTAATGGAAATTATCTCTAGCAGTTAGTGCACTTACCTGCTGACTCAAAATCATCATCAAGTGCTTTGCCGACTGGCAGGGGACATCATGCCTCTTCACAACCAGTGATTTCCAGTGGCATTTATCAGCCTATGTTCTGACACCCCTCCAAGCCATGAAAACAGACTGCAAGAATATTCTTGCGTTGTCTTTCTCTATCCCTCTTTCCACAAATCTTTCCAGCCATCAGATGTTTCATTACCCACCTGTTGACTAGGTGGTCGTAATTTTTTAAACCTACCACGATCGCATAGTCCCAGGAGTTAACTACTCTGTTATGGTTAAGGGTAAAAACAGAAGACAAGAAATAAATGATATCACAGCAACCTGCCACCAGCATGTTTCTAATACCCTACATGCCGATGACTCTGCAGTTTGGACAGCCTCAGAATACACTACCACAGCCTCATATCTGTTACAGAAAACTGTGGAAAATGTAGAAGCCTGGACCGAAAAGTGGGGTCTAAAGCTAAATAATTCAAAAAGCACAGCATCACTTTTCTCTCTCTCCCCCAAAAAAATAAAAAAAATCGAAATTTTGGATAAAAAACCAGCTCATTCCACAGACTGACACTCCTATCTTTCTGGGCGTTACACTTGATTCGCGACTAACTTGGAAGTCACATGTAGAAGCAGTACAGGAAAAAGCACTCAAGAAGCTTGCAGTGATGAAAAAATTAGCGGGTACCACATGGGGCGCTAACTCTAGAATCCTAAAACAAGTATATACTGGAGCAGTCAGGCCAGTCATGGAATATGCCTCCACTGCATGGGCTGCAGCAGCCAAGACAACAATGGGAAAACTGGACAGGGTTCAGAATATGGGATTAAGGACTGTTCTCGGAGCCATGAAAACCACCCCCATCAGAGAGATAGAAAAGATAGCAGATACTGAACCACTCTAACTCACAAGACAATACAAAACTCTTTTACAGTATTAGAAATTAAAAAGACTTCAAAGTCATTCACTGCATTTTAAATTTCAAGAGAGAACAAAAAAACAGACTGAAGCGTCAGAGCCCCAACCACCTTGCTAGAGAACTGTACAGACAGCACCAAGATCTGCTTGAAAGAGATGTTGCACTGTGCGAAAAACTTGGGCCAGAACCATGGACAAGCAAGCCAGAGAAAGCAAATGTAGTCCTAAAGGTACCAGGAATCACTTCAAAAGATGCCCAGACGGAGACACAACAGAGAACCCTGGCTCTTGCTATGCTTGATGAGAAGTATCCAAACACCACTTGGACTCAGGTTTTCACCGACGGCTCTACTACAGATGCATTCAGAAAGGGGAGTTTTGGAATTTACATTAAACCCCCTAGCAGTAGAGCAGAAACTCTCTCTCTACCAGCAGGTGACATCTGCACTAACTTCAGAGCTGAGGCAACTGCCCTCCTCTCTGCAGTCCAACATCTCATCACTCAAGAACACAGAGGGCACCAAATTGTTATACTTAGTGACTCATTGTCTGTTCTCCAAGCACTATCCAGCAAAAAACAAGACAAACTAATTGCAGATCTAAGGACCAATATTGGCTTACTCTCCAAGGAAGCAGAACTGGTCTTGCAGTGGATACCAGCCCACTGTGGTATTCAAGGAAATGAGAGAGCAGATGAGTTGGCAAAAGCTGGGAGTAATCTTCCACAACCTCATCCACCACACAGCTACAAGGAAACCAAAACAGCGCTAAAGCAGTCTTTCAAGCGGGAGTGGAGAAGGCAGAATGGAGATTACAGACCAGAGAGTGACAGCATAAACAAACTCAACAGGAAAGAACAAACATCAATTTTTAGACTTCGGACTGGACACTGTGGTCTTTGAGCACACTTGTACAGGCATAAAAGAATCTGCTGTTTGTGATTGTGGAGCAGAAAGACAGACCCCTGACCACATACTACAGTACTGCCCTAACCTCTCCCAGCAAAGACTGTGGATTTGGCCCAAGGGAGCCACATTGCAAGAGAAGCTATGGGGGACAGGTGGCGACCTTAAACGCACAATCCTATTTGTGACCCAGACGTTTAGTATGACTGAGAAGAAGAAGACAAGGAAACTTCATGCACAATTTTAAAATGTTCAGTGCAATGTGTCAAGACAAAATTAGTGTCGTTTGTAGTGTTAGAAGGTAAAAGATACTTCATAAATTTTAGGCCATGGCGTGAATCAGGTGGCATGGCCAGTTCCCTACCTCACTACATTTCTTTTCCAACATATTCTCATAACATTATGAAATTATCAGGTAACCATTTTAAATAAACAGAAAATTAATTATAACTGAGATATTATTCTGTCTTTTCAGACAGTATTACACTGTAAGTTAGTTAGTTGACAGATTATCCTCACTGCACATCAGACAGTATTACACTGTTAGTTAGTTAGTTGACAGCTTATCCTCACTGCACAACAGACAGTATTTCACTGTTAGTTAGTTAGTTGACAGCTTATCCTCACTGCACATCAGACAGTATTACACTGTTAGTTAGTTAGTTGACAGATTATCCACACTGCACATCAGACAGTATTACACTGTTAGTTAGTTAGTTGACAGCTTATCCTCACTGCACATCAGACAGTATTACACTGTTAGTTAGTTAGTTGACAGATTATCCTCACTGCACATCAGACAGTATTACACTGTTAGTTAGTTAGTTGACAGCTTATCCTCACTGCACATCAGACAGTATTACACTGTTAGTTAGTTAGTTGACAGATTATCCTCACTGCACATCAGACAGTATTACACTGTTAGTTAGTTAGTTGACAGCTTATCTTCACTGCACATCAGACAGTATTACACTGTTAGTTAGTTGACAGCTTATCCTCACTGCACATCAGACAGTATTACACTGTTAGTTAGTTAGTTGACAGATTATCCTCACTGCACATCAGACAGTATTACACTGTTAGTTAGTTAGTTGACAGCTACTGTTATAGTTCACTGCACATCAGGAGACAGTATTACACTGTTAGTTAGTTAGTTGACAGCTTATCCTCACTGCGACAGTATTCAGACAGCTTATCCTCAGCCATATTACACTGTTAGTTAGTTAGTTGACAGATTATCCTCACTGCACATCAGACAGTATTACACTGTTAGTTACTTGACAGCTTATCTTCACTGCACATCAGACAGTATTACACTGTTAGTTAGTTAGTTGACAGCTTATCCTCACTGCACATCAGACAGTATTACACTGTTAGTTAGTTAGTTGACAGCTTATCCTCACTGCACATCAGACAGTATTACACTGTTAGTTAGTTAGTTGACAGCTTATCCTCACTGCACATCAGACAGTATTACACTGTTAGTTAGTTAGTTGACAGATTATCCTCACTGCACATCAGACAAGTCCATAAGCGCTCGGATTCCATCATTAATATATCCCTCAGCGTGAGGCGACTGATAACATCAGTTCTGTGTTGGTTTACTATTCTTCTTTGGCTACCAGTATAGTGTTCATGTTTGGCAACACATCTTTTGACCTGAAGTTCTTGTAGTCTTTTGAGTGTTGCCAATTCAACGTCATCTCCTGAATCATCTTCTCCTCCTGCCTCTTTGAGAGCACTGCGAATTTCAGCCCGGTCCACTGCTTTTCCTGTACCTACTGTGGCCCTGCCAGTAAGCTAATCTGCTCATTCACTTCCTCTTAACTCAGAGTTTCCTGGCTCAAAAATGAAACTAATTCCTAACAGATGAGATTTCCACAGCGACTACAACATTTTCTTCGATCTTCCAATCCAACCTATCTCGATCTTCTTAAGTATTAAACTGTGCTAGAGGGAAACAAGGGAATCACAAGCCAAGGATGATGGCAACTGATGAGCAAGAAGAGCTGAGGATATAAGAAAACACAAGAAGTGCATGAGATTTCAGGGCCATTGCTGTCATTGTATATTTTTGTGTTTTTCCCCAAATGCTCAGCTCTTAGCCTATAGCCATAATTTTGTCCTATGTTCTTGTTTCTTTCCTGATCTTTCTCCTTCATTAAAAATATTGACATCTTCCACCAAGTGTCTATGAAAATATGGGGTCAGCATCTTCTTTCTCTTCGTATAGTCCATGCTGTGTGGTGTTGGTAGTTATGACTATCCACAACCTACTGTCTCATGTACTTTCAATCAACACTGACACAGATGATCTTCCATGTCAAACTGACCAATGCATCTTCTCTCTCGGTCTCCTATGCCTCTTTTACCTTACAACTTTCCCAATGTTACAATGTACTCCAGATTTCTTCTCCTCATGACACCTCATTAGAATGTAGATTATCTCCTTCTTATGTGGAAAGCCTCACATGCTCAATATGCCTCGAGGTGCATGGGACCTTGACTTGCTTACTGCTAAGACATCATATACTGCTTTTCATGCTATTAATTGTTTTCCATTTGTTTGACTGATAACTCACACATATCAAACTAAAATGTTAATATAACTACAGACAGAGACATTAACAAATAATTAGGCTAGCATGCAGGTCCCTGTGTGGATTCTGGGGCCCCATTTTAGGGGGAAAATAATAAACACACTGCTGCCCTTACAAGAATGATGAATAAAAACACTAATTAGACATCTGCAGCAATCAGAAGAGTTGATGCAAAAGGTGCAGATATCGCAGGCTAGCTGTAAATCACAATGTAAAGTCCCAACCATGTCTTTAAAGGCATATTTTTTTTTTAAAGTACCCACACACAAAAAAAAAAACAGCAAAGAAAAAATTACACAGGAAAATGAAAAACATGATATAAATATTTAAACAGAAAATTACTAATCTAAAAAATGCTAATATTTACCTGAATTTGCATGTCTCTAATGGCCTTGTCCTTTGAAAGCTGCAACTGTCTGCGATGATTTTTGGGCAGGGGTGAACCTTTCAATCGTCTGTTAGTTTCTTCAAGGTTGTCCAGTAACATTCGTTCTTCAAAATCACGCAATTCTCTCTGACGGCTTCGACGAGCCTTCATTTTCCAAAGCTGTTCAACTGCATCATCAACAGACATTTTAGCTGAGGGCTGCTAATACAGGCACTAGTGGCAACTACAGAAACAGCTGCATTCGACTGACAAATGGTGGCACGGCTTAAGACAGTTACGAAGACGATAGCAGCTGTTGGATTTCGTTGGCACACATTTTCTGTGCTTCATATGATTATGTTGGTTCCTGCAATGTTTATTACGTCAAGGAACAATGCAGCTGTTGCATATTTCTACATAAGGTACACACACACTTGCTAAAGAGGGGATAATGACGATGAGGCTCCATCTTCACTCACAAACGTTTACAGTCAGTGTCACTGGAACAATCAACGTTTCCATCTTACTGCAGAAAATCCATGTGTTTCTTTGGAATACTATGATGTTGGTTCTTCAATCAACATGATCACACATGCTTATAGCAGCATATCTGAGAATTTAACCAAGCTGTGTTGTTTTTTTCAATTAGCCTAACTATTTATTTCTGTGACTAGCAGTGCAAATAGTCAAAAGCAGCTGTGTGGCAGCTCTCATCTTTCCATGGTTGATGTGCGTTCAATTTTAGCAGCTCTAGAGAAAATTTAACACGTTTTTTCTTTCTTTCAGGAATTTAATAAGTAACGTTGTGATCGCAGAAGAAGCTGTGCTTGTGCTTTTCTTGTATTTATATTAGTAACTGCACTACTAACTCCTCTTATTTTTGTCTCTGGTCCCGTTTTAACGCCACCAATTTTTAAATGCCTCGCCATAGTGATCAAGAGATCGATGCTAATATAATATTAGTATCGCAATTACGTCTAATAAGACATCGTGTGCCTATATAGTCTACACATTAAACTTTATACCTAGCCTGCCTGACTGCCATTTCATTGGTTTTCGTTTTTTAACATGTCATTTCTCGTCAACCTGTAAAAACAAACTCGAACTGCAAACTAGATCCACAAAGTTCTAAATAGGAAACGGTTTTTTCATTCCATGGAAAAGAAAATAAAAACACTTTCATTATAAAATTGACTACAACTTTTATTAGATCAACGTTAACTCAGAAATGATGAGTTTGGGAGAGTAAATTTTTCCCGCCTTCTCTACTGGTAAAAGTTAATAAAACGTCACCGCGTCAGCTGTCGCCAATGACGACGGTAAACAGACCTGCAACAAAGTGGTACCACGAATATCCTGGGCCCATATCGAACCAACGTTCAAAAATGTGAATTGAATTATGATTGCTCGTGTGAATAAAGGTCATTCACGACGTGAATATTGAAATACAATGAAAGGCTAACCCTCAGACGCGGACCTAAATCAACAATGACGTGTCGTTTGTTGGATTTATATAACGACAATAACGTGTATCGTCTCAAGTATGACTAGTTTGTCAAAAACAAAACTTTTTGGTGTAGTTCAACCAGTAGTTCACATTTCAAAACTCTATGGTCGTTCGATAAACTGTATATGCGTAATTAGAGCATTCATTGGAAAAAAAAACACTCCCCAGACAAACAGTTGAAAATAATATTTAAAAATAACACATATAATAACTGGCATCAATCAACATGTTTTCAATTTGCGTCATGATGGTGATAGGTTTGTTGCCCGTGCGTTGAAGTATATTCCTGCACGTTGCACTTTCGTTAGTATGCCCATATTATATTTCAGTTTGATATTTTTCATCACCTTTTGGGTTCCTGGGTCCAATTAGAGATGGGGGGGGGGTAGACCTGCTGCCCCTTAACAATCAATCAATCAATCAATCTGGTAGGTCTCCACAACGAATGCAATAGACCTCCAACACTCTCTATCTGTTGTGTTGGTAGTACACTCTCGCAGACTACTGTCTTTAC